AACCATGTTGCTAGAGTCTGGACTTAAGCAAGTAAACATGTAATGACTATATAATATGGTGAGAGGCAAGAAGTCTTCCTGAGAGCCACAGACATGGACATTAGGTTCGCTGAGATTAAATCCTGGTCCTTTTGAAAATACCATTATTTTTTTCTCTATGTTCTTCATAACATCATCTCCTACTCAAGAAATAGCCTGGATTTCTCCTGTAAGGTGGATAGTAGATGTTCTGCTGTGCAGAAAATCACTTGGAGGCCAGTGGTAGATGCAGAAGGTGTCTGCTTTGCTCAGCTCCATTGCCAAGCCAAACAGGTCTGTTACAACACAGATCGCTGAAAAACTCTTGTAAAATTCCCTTAAAAGATAACTGAGCACATTAAATAGTGATGCATTAAATAGAGATGGGCTTCCAAATGCATTTTCACATAGAAAGCCAAAATAATTTCTATTTATACCTCAGATATGGATCTTTGTGTGTTACTGCCCTATACAAAGAACCACACTAAAAATTAATTCCTTAACATTCCCTCCACAGCCTTTCTAGTGGCCAGACCTGTTACTTCTGAGTGACCTAGATTTTGACAACACAAGTGAACAGATCTGTAGCATGTCACTCCTGCTTCAGTTGCAGAGATCATGAGAGGAACATTACTGCCTCTTTTAGTGGCATCAGGGAACAAATTTTATTAAGACATCTCTAAATGGCAGGAATGAGGGGAAAAAAAAAATTAAGTGCATTGATGCGATCAGTGGCTCAAGATCTCTGCCCATAACCAGAGTGGCGGCCTATGAGAACTCCCTGATTGGTTTAGACATCTCCAACCTGCTTGAATGAGAAACACTCCAGAAGAAGCAAGCTGACAACAGAACCACCAGGAAATGACAGTGCAGGCTGGTGACTGGTGACCCACCGCACCAGAGACTATTCTTATCTGAAAATACTGACAAGGGCTCTTCTGGTCCTCTGTGATAAGAAAGTCATTACTGAGTGACAAGAAGAGTCTACAACATGACTAAAGCTGGCTGAAATTCTTGGTATAAATCAATGCTTCTCATATACAAACACAAATCCGGAAACACAGAAAGACACAACTATTTCATCAGTTTTGCAGCTTTCAAGTCACTCTCTCTGAACTGAAAAAAACTCATAAAAATTAATTGAATGATCAATATCTATGTATCACATCTCCACTGGCCTTCGATTTTTCAAAATCAAGACTTTTCAGGAATAATAACAATTTTTTAATCTTTTAGTAGCAACAGTTCCTTACTATTTATTGTACCACAGCAAATATTAGGCATGAGGCAACTCAGTCCAAGAGAACTATGAAAAGATGCATTAAGATCTCAGCAAAATAGAAATAAGTATCTTTTTCACCCATGCAGGGCATAACTATCTCCAGTTATGCTCAGCAATCCTTAATAGCACACCTGCAGAGGTGGTCACATCATTGAAGCTAAGGCACATAACATGCGGGGGGGCTTGCATAGAGATAGAGTTGCCCAGGGAATCACTTGCAGGACGCCTGTAGCAGAGCACCCAGATTCACCCAGACTGAGGGCTGGTGTGTAATTAGGCCAGATTCTTGAATTTTATTCATCACTTTGGTCCATCTTCTTTCAATTCAACACAAATCACTGTGCATCTGAGAGGCAAAGACTGTTCAGAGAGAAAGCAGTAACAAGATATAAACTTCATCTGCTTCATTAACTTTGTCAGCAATGCATGAGCCTGGTTCAGAATGACTTGCATTGCCATGAAGTGGGGTGGAAAGCACAAAACAGGATAGTCACAGGGAACGTGATTTTGCCCTAGAAGAACTGAATGGAGGGCTGATTATCATCCTTCAAACATTATCACTGTGGCAGAGGAGAGGGACTGTGGCTCCTGTCCCACTTACCTTGGGAACAAGACATCATAGCAGTAGTAACTTTTTAATCGATTCCTCACAAGAGGAACCCCTTTCCATCATTTGATGGTGATGGCATGCATGTACCTGCCCTGTACTGATGAGACAAAGATATGTGAAAGACTTTCTCCAAATTTAAGGGTGCAGTTGCGTGAGTCATTTGGTTTTTGCCAGGCAGAGTTAATTTCCTTCCCAGCAGCTGGTATGGGAAGATGTTTTGTTTTTGTGCCGGAAATGCTGTTGATAATTCAAAGACATTTTCCTTGCTGCTGAGCAGTGACAACTCCTTACAGAGTCAAGACCTTTCCTCTCTCTCACCCCACCCCACTGGCTAAGAGGCTGGGGTGGTACAAGAGAGTAGGAGATGACACAGTGGGGACAGCTGACCCCTGTTATTCCAAGGGATATTCCATGCCATATGGAATCATTCTCGGCATATATAGCTAGGGAAAGAAGAAGGACATTTGGAATGATGGTGCTTGTCTTCCCAAGCCATTGTTAGAGGTAAAGAAGGTACTGCTTTCCTGGCAATGACTGAACGGCTGCCTGCCCATGGGAAATGGGAATTCTTCTTTCTGCTTTGCTTTTGTGCATGACTTTTTCTCTACCTGTTAAGCTTTTTTTACCTCAGCCCAGGAGTTTACTGATATTTATTATTCTAATTCTCTTTTTAAACCAATGAGGACAGAGTGAGCAGGTGGCTATGTGAGGCTGAGTTGCCAGCTGGAGTTAAACAACAGAAATTTCCACAGTCCTCATCATTCCAGTTTCAGAAATCATTAATTCTGAAAGATTGTGTCCACGCTAAACAGTATACTGAAGTTTACTTCACTTTACCACCATTCATAGTTACCAAAAAGTCTATGTGCTATGGCAGTTGTGAGAGACCTATCACTCCATGAGGCAAACATTATACTGCTTACACTCAGACAAATGAAAAAGAATTGGTAAATTATTTTGATTTGATTTAGTCTGCATAATTTTCAAATTTAAGGTACAGCTAAACCTGCCACCCCCAATCAATAAAACCATTTATAAAGCATGAGAAAAAAACTAACACAAATTCAAATAAGTCAAAAGGTGCAGTTTTCAATTGGATTATCAAATCCCCAAACACTAAACCATTTCTAACAGTAAATAAGGTAAAACCAAATCCCCAAATAGTGTACATACAAGACATTTTACAAAGGCATCCATTTCCATAGGTAGGGTCCTGAACTGTCCACGCTTCAGAGTTTTTCCAAGCAGAATCTCCTCAGCTCAGAGGAACAGAGGTGTCACTCACTGACAGAGAAACACTATTTCCATACCTCATAACATCTGGAATATAAAGGGTATAAACATCACTAGGATCACAAAGTGGCTCCTGTTCCTCTTCAATGCTTCCCCTCTGCGCTGAGCAATATTTCTCTCAGCCTGGTTCTTGGTAGTCATGCATTTAAAAATGTAAAAGCCTTAGGACCCAAACCAATAACCATGCAACATTTTAAACATTTGAGTCATTCTTTTAGATTCCAGTGCAAATAGACCAATGCAGCACAGACATGGAAATTATGCTGTCACTGAGGATCAAGTTCCTGTGAAGAACAAAACCCCCTCTCTTAACACAACCAAAACTCCTTTTACAGGTAGGCTTCCAGAACAGGGGGTGACTTGTAGACCAAATTCCGTAAGGAATGCAGAGACGTCACCGCATGACAGCCTTATGATCACAAAGCAACAAAATGTGGTGTAAAAATTTAATTGTTAAAAGCAGCAGAAAAACTGGGGACACTCATTTCTATACATAATTTTTTGTTATAAACTAAAATAAAGTCCTACTGCAGAGGAAGAGTGACAGTAAAGGAAAACAGGACTCATCAAGAATACATTTGGAGTTCAACAGTCTAGGGGCTGAGATCAGTGTAAACATTTTATGCAGAGACAGGGCAAGAAGTTATAAAGAGATAAAAAATAGATATAAAAAAGAAGAAAATAAAATATTTTAGAATCAACTTATGTTTGAATTCTGCTGCAAAGCTACACAACTCAAGCTGGGACATGTTTCAGGGAATGACAAAGAGATTCCTATGCTTCCACTGCTAACACATTCTCCTTTAAATTCGTCCTTTGATGCATCCAGCCACAGGTTGAGACTTGAGGTACATCAGTCCATGGACCTCCACCATTAAAACTTTCTTCCAGAAGAAAGACCTCAGATTCCTTCAGACCCTGATGCTTTATCACATTTTTCCTCATTCCTTGTGGGTTTCATTTCTGTGTGTGCTATATTCCTATGGTAACTTGTAAAATTATTTCACAAATAATGCAGAATATGCTGATATGTCTTACTTTCTGTCACATACACTGGGAGGAAAAAAAAAAAAAGCAGTCATGAATGCTCCCTTGCTTAGCCAAAATGGCACAAAAGACTCATAGCCTGCCTGGATCTGCACATGCAGTGCATCTACCCCACCTCTTGTGCAGATAATTCTGTGTAAGAGCTGCCAGCCAATTCGCAATCTACTTTCTACCAATGAAAGTCTCAGTTACTAGTGTCCCTTTTTCAAACTCCTAAAGAAAACATTCTTTAGAAAGGCTTCCAGCTCTGCTTTTAAATTCTAATATGCCAAGTGTTGCCATGCAAGGAAGTCCTCAAAAATTAGCATTCTCCAGTTCCAGGAAATGCAGAGATGCACACCGGATGATAGAAAATATTCTGTCTCCCATTTCAAAGATTCTCACCTAAGATTTTATCTTAACTTACTCTAATTACTTCATTAGATTAATCTCCACTTGTAAAATGACTATAAAGTATCCTCTTCCTCTGGTATGGACAGTAACAAATAACACAAAGAATGGTCATATTTTACTTTCTCATCAGAGCTTGAAAGAAACTATTATAAAGTGTAAAGATCAATGGGAGAGAGGCTCTGCGGAATTAGCACAGATGCAATATGAATTCTCTTTTTAATCTTCCATTTCATGTGTAAATACAAGCACATAATCTAGGTGTGCATCTCATATTTGCAGCTCAGTGCTAATAAAAATATGCCAGAGAGCAATGTAATGATAACAAATTCCTTTCGAAAAGTGCAAAATGACACAGAAGAATCATAATGAGTTTTTTACACTGCAGAGTCTTTCTTCAATTACTCAGGAGATAAGGATGATTTGAGGACTTTGTCATTCAATTGCAAATTAAAGTATCACTTCACATGCAGCAGGATCAGGCACTGAAATCACTTGTCAAGAGTCTGACACTTTTAAGAGCTTCAGTGTCTGGAACTCATCCTATCTTTTCCTGCAGACTCGTGTGCCCAGATGAGTCTGCTCTCTACATTCAGCCATTAGTGTCTCAGTAAAGCTGTTTGTCCAGCTCAAAATGTTCTCAAATAAAATGGAGGAAGGAAGAAAAGAGGAAGCATGGGAAACAGAATTTTGCACTAAATCAAAATTACTTAAAGAACTGTTTCCTTATTGCTATCAGCTATGCTTATTAACAAAATATTTTATGTACGCACAGAGTATTTTTAACATCAAGGATACCATTTAAGAGAAGTGTCATCACTCAAGTTATACAAACCAGTTTGATTTGTGTGGGTTGTTCTTTGGAATAATGCCCTAATAGCTAAAGCAATTTCCACAGTTCTGAGTTACTTTCAAACCTTTCTCTTTCATGATGAGTTATTTCTCCAACATTCAAGCCCAGTCAGATGGCTGTAGATTGTTCTGAAGATCAATGTGTTCCTCCATCTCACCAGCTGCTTTCTCTGTTTTCTATAAAAAGATTTAAAATTACCTGAAACAGAAACCAAGGTCTCCTTCATTATTGAATAAGCATCCCACACAGCTTTACTACCAAAGAACCCATTCTATTTTCACTCTGCAAATAAACATGCATATTTGTTTTAATGTGACCTGCAGTAGTTTCAGTAACAGAGAGAGAGTAATTGAGAGAATGCCAACCACGAAATATCACATTACTTGGAATTAAGGGCACTCTAGTGAAAAACATGACCCAAACTTATGTCCCCTCAAGCATCTGTGGCATTTCATTATTTGTCCCCTGCATTCCTGGTGACTTCTCTAGCCACGGAAGAATGAACCAAGGACATTCCTGCTCTCCTTTGTTTTAGGCCTGATAGATAAAATAGGTGGGGAAATCCATAGCTACCTCATGACTCTCAGTACAAGTCCTGAGTTATTTCTAAGAGGGAAAAATACTGCTTTTTACTGTTGGGTTTTTTTACCCTTGATGAATCACTAAGACATCAGGCAGCTTTTGAAGTTTATCTTTTAAGCTCTGATATCTAATTCACTGCATGTATGTTTCACTTTTGATGGTTTCTGGAATCGAGACAAAAATTACAGAACCACATTTAAAGGCTGTGGAATATAGCCATGCATTGGGGCATAAATAGAAGCAGAAAAATTGTAGCCAATTGTATAAGAATTACAACTACAATAACATCTTTTCAATGTCAATATTAAAAGAAAGTTTTTAAGATTAGATCTGTAGGCCTTGGCAGAAAAATACATTAGACTGAAATAGTACAAACTGCTAAAAGATTAATTAGGAAGAGAGTAAATGCTACTACACCAAAGGTGTGAAGGTATCTACTTCTAATTCCACAGACCAAAGGGGCTGCCAACTACAATCATGAAATGCAAAAAGCACATTGTTTCAGTTTAAACAAAAATACATAGTAAATTTCCTTCATGTCTGTTTGGGACCACTGACAGGTGACTCAGACCAGTCTATCATTAAACTGGCAACACTCCCCCACTGGAGGAACGGCTAGAAGAACTATCTTTCAGAAAACAATCTTTTTTTTTGCTTCTTCTTATTTTTCTTTTTTTTTCTTTTTTTACCCACTATGCTTTATTTATTATGAGGAAGTGCTTCTTCATGGGAATTATGAAGCATTTTTCTGCATTTAACAGTCCTACATGCCCATGGCTGCTGTTGTCCAATTGCTCCACTACAGTGGACTCTGGCTCAGGCAAGCAAGGAATTACAAAGAGAGTAAAGCAACAAGGCATTGCCAACTACCTCTTCCCACCATCTCACCAAAACAAGAAGAACACATCTGTCTTTGATCAGATACCTCAGTACACTCCCTATCAAATATCTTATGACAGCCACAAGTCATTTCAAAGAAGTACGTTCTTACCGAGAAAGAAAAAATTCTGTTCAAAGAAGCATTCAGTTTCTTGACAAGTCAGTTGACTTCATCAAAATATTTTCTGGCTGGCATTTTATGAGGTTTGACATTTTACAAAAAGCTGAATTTTATCCAAAAATGTAAGAAACCTAGTCTCTTGGCACAAGTCATCATGTCTTTAAATTCTCAGAGGTCCTCGATTTACGGTACCCTTCAGGCATGGAAGCAAAGCTCAAAAATTGACTGTACCATTCACACAGGTCAGACTTTATTGTAAGTGGGAGCTTTTATCAGCAAAGACTTTTGAAACCACTGTGCCTGAAGTCTTGACAGTTGTCATAAATTATGAGAATTCTTGCTTCCAAACAAGGTTTTTTCTCCCAGAGCTACACTAACATTTAACTATCCATTGAGACTGAGTAAGGGAGAAGAAAGGGAGGAGTTGCACACTGGTGTGAGCAGTGAGGAAAAGAGAACTGAAGAACACACAGGGCAAGGAAACTCTTAATAGCAAGTGAGTAAAAATTCATGAGACAGATTCAGAATTTTGCTGGAAGGAAGGCAGGCCTTCTTTTCTTATTCCTCTTATGATTGATTGCACTTGTGAGCCCTTTTCAGAGAATCAGCCAGTAGTACTCCCAACAGTTCATCACTTTTGGGAAATACAATTACCTGCTTTAGGATGTAGTGAATCAGCCTCTGAGACATCCAGCCCAGAACTGTGAGAAAGAGGCTACAATTGCAATCCAGCAGAGTTATTTTCTTTACTGTTTATTCTTGTACTTCTTTGCCCTTACTGAACACTCTGTACCAAGAAGGATTCTACTAGAGAATGATATTTAATCACAGTAAATCTATTCACTTATCCACAGTAAAAAAAAAAAAAAAAAATTCCTTCAGATGATTTTGAGAGGCCTTCAGAGATGAAAGGAAACACCTGATTGACTTCACAGGTTCTCCTTGAGAATATAAGAAGAAGGGAAAGAAAAATAAGGAATTGTGTCTGTCATTCATGGGAAAAAATCAAAGCAATGAAAGAAAATGGAGGCATGATCAATAAGACTGACTCTTGTTCCTAAATCTCAGTGCCTGATTGAAGGTGTTACCTGACAAAATTGAGGTACTCTTCCCAAACACTTTTCTGCTCTGGTGCTTTACAGAAGATTCTTACCTTGTGCCCAACTAACCAGAGGAACAAATCCAGGAAAAAAAAATCAATTTGAAGGTAGTTTTGAATCTCAAGAAAGGAACCAGAAATATAAAACAAATGCAGACATCAGGTATTATCAGATTTTTTCAGAAAATAGTACTGATACTGTGCCAAAGGATCATTTCAGAAAACTCGACAACCCTTGGATGCTTAAGATGAGAAGGCTCAATCACAAATCCAATGAGAATTTCAAATATTAGAGGCTAAAAATTGCAAATTAAGCACAGGAGAAAGTAGAAATAAGTGGTTAAGTTTCACAATAGCCTGCATCATAGAAAAAGCTGTAATCATTTTGCTTCTTAGAAAACACAAAGACGTAACTCTAAGAGCAGTGTAAGATATAAAATCAATACTATTATTATCAGTTATGAAAAAAAAACCCAACACTTTATTGTAAACTGTTTTTTTTTAAAAATTTTCCTACTCTTATGTAATAACTCTGAAATATTTGAAAGCATGAAAGCTGAATTGATGCCTTTATATATTCTATACGGGAGGTTCTTTTCATTTATGTATATTCATAGATTATCTTGTCACAACCACTGTGCAAACTTCTCTATTTGTGTTGGAGCTTAGGTCTCTTTAAAAATTAACAAATTCCCTATATATAGTGGAACTTCTGTGACATTATTAAAAGAAACTACTTTTAAATGAGAAATCCTTATCTAGGCAAAGGGCTTACAAAGGGCTAACAAAGTGAGGACTTCTGAGGAAGGCAGTTAATTGTACTCACACATTGTCAGTTGTGGCTGTGACTCTGTATTTTGCAGTCTTCCAGGGAGAACAATGGGAGGTTTGTTGGCAAAGGCAGTTTGAAGCAGAAGGCAAAGGCAGCAGCCAGAGAAGCAGGTAGGTTGCACAGAGGAGAGCAGGTACCAAAATATCTTGTTGCATTTGATACTGCACATGAAGAAAATTTTATACACAAAATATAATTAAGAATTAAGACAAAATATGTGAATTTTTACCTTTAAAACTCTTTAGCTATTCTATGAAAAATACTTTGATTGTGTAATTGATCATGCATATTCCAAGAAAGATGGATATGCATAATTCCCTCTGAATCAGTTCAGCTGAAAATAAACATGCTTCCAGACCTACACAACATTGCAGAGGTAAGTATTGGCTGGTAAACATCTTAGTACCTACACCCTTAGTCTTGCTTTCTGATATGTTTCTTGATCAGATGACTGACTCACTGTTTTCTCCTTACCAGTAATTTAATTCAATTTTTCCTTCTTTTTTCATGCAGCATGAATAAACAGCATTTTTCTGCATTTCCTGCTTGGATATGAATGTATATGAAAGGTCACAAATATAGCGGGTATGTTTTCTATCTAGTTCTTGTCTGATTGTATTTGGCTACACTCATGCTCACAGATGTTTTCATTCAGAGCTATTTTACTAGCCTTGGTGCAAAGCAGATGTCAAAGGTGGACTATCTGCTCTTCCATTCTTTTGACCTTCACAGAAACATAGAATCGCAGAATGGTTTCATTTGGAAGGGACCTTAAAATTCAGCTGGTTCCACCACCTTCCATGGGCAGGTACAGCTTCCACCTTATATAATGGTAATTCAGAAGGAGAAAATTCACCCTTTCAGGCACCTGACAAATTCTCCCCATACACAGTAGAGTCAAGTACTCTGAAGAAACACAGAATCTAGGTCAGCACTATAGGACTAGATTTAATAAACCTTTTCAATTTTCCTTAGACATTCCTTTGATTTTACTTTTGATTTGGCATTTTGTCCATTTTGATCAAGTTGCTATTTTTCCATATACTTAAAAACAAACAAACAAACAACAAAAAAACCCACCAAAAAAAAAGCAGTTCATTTTGGATGTCTTGGGTCCTTACCACTCACTCACATGAAACTAGACTGGTTCAGAGAGAGTTCAACCACAGATACCACGTAGATATTTAGTAGCCTGGACTAATTACTTCAGTGATTATTTAGCCCCCAGAATAGTTACCTGGTTCTCACCTTTTTTTTCACAAGGGCACATTTAAAACATTATCAACAACTGATTGACATTTTTGGTTGGTACTATATAAGTTATAAAAGTTCAATCTAGTCTTTAGCCTATAAATCATTAATTATTCACTGGACACCAAATGACAGTCTGCAAAACATCTACAAAATATAAAGCAAAGCAAGAAAAATCTAAGAAACAATTATTTAAATTTACTCTTCTCTGTATTTTGTTAGGTTGTCCTTTGGCTTTTTGCTTCTATTTTCCAGAAAGGATTGAAAATCTCTCAGTTCTACACAGCTGGGAAACAGTGCCTGAGGTATATGTGCCTGTTTTTATCATCCCAAATAAATTCTGCAATAGCCCCCATTAAAAGTATTCAACACAGCATTAATTTCCACGTGATATCCTGTAACTCCCCCACAGGGCACCAAAACAAAGCCAAGGGAAGTACAAGTGATGGAAGAAGGTGCAAAGGTCTGAATAAAATGCTACTCCTGCTTTTACACTAAGAGGCATACGACAAATTTCTACAAACTTAGCAAAAAGCTTTACTAAAGTTTTGTAGCAGCTTGAATTACACAGAGTACATTCTGGCCATGAGAAGAGACTATACACATCCTGGCTTTAGTAACACTGCTGTCAAGAAAAAAAAGGAGAGAAAAAAACCGAAACGAAGTCCAAGTGAAAAATGCAATTTATCTCGCTAGTCTTCAATATGATACAGCTTTAGGAATGTACTCAAATGTATCATACTTAAAGACAAAAGGCAGTGAATTTCTGCCTCAAAAAGAGAAATCTTATCCTAGCATAAGAAGGGAATAGAAAGTCAAGTTTTTCACCAAACATTAATAACAGAAATAATTGCATTTCCTGCACACTGACTCTGTGTACCAGGTTGACTGTTGAAAATACAGACTCCTGCACGAAGAAACTAGGACCACTGAATTAAATATTCCTGATGGTATTGTAGCTAGACATTGAAAATTAGTAGATGTCTGCAGTTATTAGTGGTAAGTGATTAATTTGATTCCAGATGTCTTGAAATTGTGATTTGAAGGGAATTGCAAGCAGTCTAATCAAATTATTGAACATTTCTGAACAAGAGTTAAGATACAGGATAAGAGATACACAGGATTTTGAAGCACTTGAGAATGACTGCTGGTGAGAGACAGCTATATGTGCTAACATAGACTGCCTGAAATAAAACTAGATCTACATCTGAAATTTGTTATCATTATCAAGGAACTAATCTGGCATTAATCACCAACAATACAGACCCCTTGAAAGATGGTAAAGTCATCTGTTGGCAAAAATAGAATACCTTATTTAATTTCAAACATCATGTGAGTTGCATGCAATGCAAGCTTCATCTAATTAAAATAAATATGCTAATGAAAGTTGGAAGCAAAACCTCAAAATAGACACAATTATTTACCAATTTCTAACTGTATTTCACCACAAGAGAAATGCAGCTTCTATCTAACATATTCTGCAACAGGCTTTATGCACATTGCATTTTGCCTTTTACAGTTAGAATTTCCTTTTGCACTACAGTTACTCAAAGTCATAAATGTTTCAAATACTGGCAAATGGAAAGATTTCGTATTATTTTTTTCAGGAAAGTCCCAATACTAAATATTAACTGATTAAGTGTAGAGCTACTGCTTTTCAAAATTCAGTTGCAGCTTTTACCTGCATCTTCTCCAAACTAAAAAGAAATCTCTCATTACTATTCCTGCTCTGGTGGTTTTTTCTGCCTGCATGTATTTTTTTTGTTTGTTTTTTACATGAGAAGAAAGAAAAGGTCACAAGTATTGTAACAAGACTTTGATTTGGTTAGTTTTTTTTAAGGAAATGTGAGAACTGCAAAAATTTGCTTTATTTTGTTTGTTTGTTTGTTTGACCAAAGTGAAACAGGTCAAGCAAACCATTTTCTTGGTTAATATTAATGTTGCATTGACAAATAGCAAAGAAAAATGCTGTATTTTTTCACAGTATTTTTTTGGATGAAACATATGAACTGTAAACACATGTGTGTTCTCATGAAAACTTTGTAAAGACAAAATTGTGGCTGTCCATGGACTTCATTGCAAAATAAATTATCTGGTAACAGGATTATACTTAATAAAAATGTTCCCATTCTTAAAAAAAAACCCAAACACAAACAGCCACAAAATTAAGGCCAAAGTAGTGAATACTGCTAGGTTAACAGTCTCCTACAGTCCTGCTCAAACCTAAGAATTACCCTTATTTGTAGATAACTGCACTTACTTTGTAAATTGATGCCATCCAGCCTCAACAACTCCAGAAGCCAGCAACATAGCTACTTCTTTTTTCAGAGTTGTTACACATCAGTCTTCTACTCAGCTGTAATTGAAGGGAAATAGCTACTGCATCCTTGGAAACAGATCCTACATTTTCATATTTCAACAGGGAAACTAAAGTTGTGTCAAACAGATAGGGCACTCTCTGCTACACTCGTGGTGATGTGTAATATCCTGAGACAGGTAAGGGAGCTTAGGCAGCCAACTCCCTAAGCCCCTTCTAAAATATTCAGGCTAAAATCTTCTGTAGCATAATTGTCTGGCTTTTTCTACTTAACAGAGCTTGCTTCCTTATTAGAATTGGGAAAATCAGTAAACAGCACTCTCAACATGGATTTACAGAAACACATGGATTTTCATTTTGCCCTGGAGCAGAACTTCCCTCAAGGTAGGAACAATCTTAAATGGCAATATGAGCTGGGACTGTATGGCATTCTGCATATGGCAAATGTGAGCAACAGCCAGACTGCCATTTATTTTATTTATTACAATTTCACAGTAGACTGTTAGAATACTTATACACAAATGGAAAACCCATATTTCTTTTGACACAACACTGGAGAGCATCCAAACAGAGAAACTGAAATGTGTGAGGCTTTTGCAGAGATAGAAGTAAATACATTTGAGCTTAGGGTATTTGGACATCTAAGAAGGACTCAACAATAAAGAAGTATTTTGGATGGAAATACTTTTAAAAACATTCTTGAAAGTTGATTTTGGTTTTGGCTTTGTTTGTTTGGGTGGTTTTTTTTTTGCTTTTTTTCCCCAAAAAAGATAAAAACACTAAGGATGTTTGATTAAAAGAACATTTAGCCAAAATGAGAGAGGTTTTTTTCATTAAATTTGGTAGTACTTATGGTCTGCATGCACAGAAAACAATGAGCGATAAATCATTTTGAGCAAACAATGTTTTAGAAGGTGTGTCTCCTGTAAATATGAATATTTCTATCAAAGTGGAAGAGTTGATGCACAGACCAGCTTGTCTATCAAGACCCTGTTCAACAAAGCCTCTCCACAAAACTCAGTGTACTGGAATCAATAGCAGTGCCAAAAAGGGAGACACTCATTCAGGCAAGCTGTGTTCATCCCTTTCAATTAAGAGAACTGTCTGCTGAATCTAGGAGTAAAACAGGAGATATATGGTTATTTCCCAGAACTTTCTCGCTTGTATGTGGTTTTATTGAGTTAAATATTATATTGTATGAATGAATTCTCCTGTTTCAGACAGTGCTTTTTTGAGGTTCTGAGAAAAATAGATGCACAAATGGTGAGTATATAGAAGCTTTCTATAACTCTGAAACCAACAGTTCATGCAAATACATAGGCAATCTAGGATTTCAGTAACCAAAGGCTATAGCAAACATTTACAAAGCAGATATCCTGATCCAAATGTAGTTACTATATTTAATATGTAACAAGATCAACTGACAGGACATTTCAATGATTAACTGCATTTTCTTTGTTTTATTATATCAAGCACCGTAGGTTATCAAAAATAGAATTCTTGAGTTAACAGCTAATGAATTTTTAAGATATTGAACTGCAGAATGTGAACAGTTTTCTAAATCAAGCAAGGTTACTGATGCACAACATGTTACAATATTTTGAAAATGTTTTACCCTACCATGTTGTGAATTCTGGCTCCCAGAGATAAACTGAGTAAACAGAAAGACAACCAAACCCTGGCCAAGACTGGATATATTTTGAACATTGCACACGGCTTTTACTGAAACCTCCACATGAAAGTCTGGGTTGCTCTTTTCCTCTCCATAGGACCAAGGTTACTTTTGATTGATTCATATGCCAAAAGACAGTATGTGGGAGTAAGGGATCTAAGACATTAAATATTAAAAAAGCTAAAGTTCAGGTGTGGACTCAACTATATGGTCAATTTGAAAATGATAAACTAATACTCAGAAAACACCTAGCTTTAATGCTTCTAGTTTTAACTGAGCAAATAGAACATTTTCTCTCTCAAAAAAGCTCATGAACAAAGCATTTCAACTGCTTTTCCAGAGTTGCAAATTAAATGATAAATTATCTTAAAATATATAGTGAGTTTCTATGTACACTGATAGCTGTGGGTGTAATCGGATGTAAATAATGATTAAAAGTGTAAATTAATTTCCAAGTAAAAATAGTTACACAGTAATAATAAAGGTAGCACAATCTGGAGAAGACCAAAATCCTTACTGGTTTTACAACTTTTAAGAAAAAGATCTCTTCTCTAGAAATTTTTATTCTAGCAATATTTACAAATATATATGTTATACATACTTGATTTTAAAGCTATCTGATCAGTCTAACAAAAATACAAGACTTAATTTTCATGGCAATGTCATCCCAGAAATAAATTTCGAAGACTCTACAGCATTAACTGCATTCTTGATACCCTTCACTTTCTTACTCAATTTCAATGGGAAAAAAAAAATACCCCTTTTATCATGCTTCCAATTTTTCATGAAAATCTCCCATTAGACTCCAAGACAGTTGATAAGCAATCTTGGTTGTAAGTTGTAAGGCAATCTCAGGTCAATGCACTTCACAGCTGTAATGGAAAAACCAGACCACATGAGCTGCCTCTCCCAAAGGACAGTGCTGGTAGGTGCTCCACTGATGAGAACAAAGAGAGTCTGAAGAAGCTGTAGGAAGGGCAAGATGTGTCTAAAGGAGGCAAAGACCTCCTACTTTTATTTGTGCTTTTAGAGTTTCCCATTACCATTTTGAGTTCCCCAAGACTTCCTCTAGGTTTTTTAGCTTTCCTCTTACTCTTCTTTTAAGATCTCAAGGACTGATACTGACCTAAAGACAACCAAAAAATTAAACTGATTTTGATAAGCTGATTTTCAAATAAATCCTTAACTATAAAAGCTTTTCTGATCTAAACACCATATTTGGAGGATTATTCATATTCTGCAGTTGCCAAAGGTTGTGTGCAAAATCAGATCATGAATGAGACAAAACGAGCAAGACATTTTCTCTCTGTTTTTCCATGCAGAATCAGTAGATTTTTGCACACATAGCAAATACACACAATTCAGGGAACAAAGGTATGGTACCTGCCTTTATAAATGAAAGATCATTGGATTATAGATATTCCTTGTACCTATGCTGTACTGAACCGATCATGCTGCTATTCCTCAAAATGGTTCTTAGCTTACTGTAAACATCAGGAGACACAGCCCCATCCAGGGTGATGAGGAGTTTGATGAGAGGTAATGACATTAAGCAAGCTCCCCTTGAAAGTTCCCTTTTTTCTCATTTGACTTTTCCTTCCCTTTCCTGACTTCTTCTGCATTGGCAGTGTCTCACTTCTTCTGTTGTCTCTAAAATGTCACAATAAAAAATGAAAAACCCTTTTTTACAGCATTATTATTTCTTTACAGCATTATTATTTTGCCAGTTTCCTGGATGCTCTTAGCCTCTGTCCAAGCTCAATGTGCACTTGTTTAGGAGAGCTGTCAAACACTAGAAAAAATCTACCTCTTTCCTATTCCCCAATACTAGAGCTTCACCAACTTTTAAGAGATTTCTTTACTGGAGGAACCACTATAATGTGATGTAGGAGGCAGTGAGATAGCAAAGTTTCTCTTATTCTCCATCATTTATAGAGGAAGAAGAATTGACATATGAAAACTCTTATGCCCTGAGGGCAGAACCATAATGTAGGCTCTGACACAGTCTGTATTTACTGTAATTCAGTAAAAATGTGGTGGATTTATTTGTGTCAAGATCTTTTCTATTCCCTTTCTCTCAGAAAGATAATAACCATAGTAGAGAATGTGTGTTTAGCCTCCTTTTCATTTTCCTGCTCCTGCAAAGCAGCTCAGCTATTCTGAATGATACATGGAAAGATTTTCTTACATAAGGAAAAGTCTACTAGTTATTCATTACTACTGTGTTTGAACCTGAGACACTTCATGAGAGTGTGTCAGAAAATAGAATTGTTTTTCCCTTGACCCCTGTCTGTCTGGGCTTCTGCAAAGGCAGAGAGGCCCTGCAGAGAGAGAAACCTGCACTTGGCATGGGGAAAACCTGGATGTATGGACAGACTGAGCAATGAGACACTGGAAAGCAGTGCCATGAAAAGGGACCTGGTCCTGGTCAGTGACAAGCTGACCATGGGTCAGCAGTGCCCTGGCCCAGCATGTCCTGAGGGGCATCAGGTACAGCATCACCAGCCAGGCAAGGGAGGGGACTATCCTGCTCTGCTCTGAGGTGGGGCAGCCTCACCTCCAGTGCTGGGGCAGTTTTGGGTGCCACAATACAAGAAAGACATTAGAAAGTGTCCAAAGGAGCACAACAGAAATGGTGAAGGGCCTTGAGGGGAAGCCATGCAAGGAACAGTTGAGGTCACTTGGTCTGCTCAGCCTGGAGAAGAAAAGACTGAGGAGAAACCTCATCACAGTTACAATTTGCTCATGAGGAGAAGAAGAGGGGCAGGCACTGATCTGATCTCTGTAAGGACCAGTGACAGAACCCAAAGGAATAGCCTGAAGCTGTATCAGAGCAGATTTAGGTTGGTCATTAGGAAAAAAGTTTTACACACAGTGTTGGGCACTGGAACAGGCTCCCCTGAGAATATTGTCTGGACAATAGTCTCATACACATGGTGTGACTCTTGGGGATGGTGCTGTGAAGGGCCAGGAGTTGGACTAGATCTTTGTGAGTCCCTTCCAACTCGCTATTCTGTGATTCTGTGAAAATATCTTAAACTGTCCCACATAAAATCTTTCTAAGCTGGAGATACATGGATTTGATAGACAGACAAATCACTGGATAAGGAATTGGCTGGATGGTCACACTCAAAGGGTTGAACTTGACAGTCTTAATAGAACAATCCAGCTCAATGTCTAAGTGGAGAACAACGATGGGTGTCATTCTTCAGGGATAGGTATTGGGACCGTCACTATTTAACCCCTTTTTTATGACATGGATTGTAGGACTGACCACTTTATCTGGGTGGGGCAGCCAACATGCTGGAGGGAAAGGACGCCATCCGGAGGGACTCTGAAAGGCTCAAGAGCTGAGGCTCTGTGAACCTCAGGAAGTTAAATGAGGCCAAGAGCAAGGTTCTGCACCTGGGTCTGGGCTATCCCAAGCACAAATATAGGCTGGGCAGAGAATTGATGGAGAGAAACTGTGGGGAGAAGGACTTGGGGTTGTGGATGGACAAGCAGCTCAACATGAACCAAAAATGTGCACTCACAGCACAGAAAGCCAAACGTGTCCTGGGCTGCATCAAAAGCAGTGAGGTAGGCAAGGCAAGGGAGCCTCTGCTCTGCTCTGGTGAGACCCCACCTGGAGCGCTCACACAGCTCCAGAGCCCCCAGCACAAGATACGAACCTGTTGGAGTGAGGCCAGAGGGCTGGAGAAGCTGTACTATGACGACAGGCTGAGACAGCTAGGGTTGTGCAGCCTGGAGAAGAGTAGGTTCTGGGGAGACCTTGGAGCACTTTCCAGTACCTAGAAGGGGCCTGTAAGAGTAATGGAAAGGTAGTTTTTACAAGGACACTTAGTGATAGGACAAGGCTTAATAGCTTTAAACTGAAAGAGGGTAGATTTGGATTAGGTATTAGGAAGAAATTATTTTCTATAAGGGTGATGAGACACTGAAACAGGTTGCCCAGAGAAACTGTGGATGCCCAATCCCAAAAAGTGTTCAAAGACATATTGAGGAGCCCCTGAGCAACCTGGTCTAGTGGAAAGTGTCCCTGCTCATGGCAGGGATTGCAACTAGACAGTGTTTTAATATCCCTCTCAATGCAAGCCATTCTATGATTCTATGATAATATTTGGGTTATTTTCTGTAAAACAAGTTAAAATCCTAAATTATACAGAAATAATAATTCTCTTGGAAATGCTGATTTTTAACCAATACTAAAGTTTATTATTCACAAAAATATGGCTAAGCTAAATACTTTCTGAAGACAAAACTTGTTTATTTCCTTCCTTTCTGCTGCTCATCTGCTCATTTTCTCTTGGTACCTCACAACTGAGCACCATGAGCAATTGTCTACCTAGAAGTTGTTGAGTGGCAAAGGCTTTCAGCAGAAAGGAGTGCAGAGATCTAATGACTTCTCACACAGCTGAACTCGGGCCAAGCAACAACTCTGGAAGCACTGTGAATGGGATTTTGTTTAGAACAGATTAAAAAAGAAAACACAGAAGAAAAGTGCTCTTTTTGTTCTAGAAGTTATTTAAGGGTACACTTGGTTGAATATTATACATAAACCAAAATAAAGTTGAGATCAATCAGCCCCTGAGTCTCCTGAAAGATCCCCACTTACCTGAAAGGAGCAGGGGAGCCCTTGGTCTCACCTCAGCATAAAGTGGGTGCATAAAGCAGAGGGAAAGAATATGGTTCCAGCAATGATAATACCTCTGTCAGCATGTGTGCCAATTCAACCATGATGTTTGCAGGAGCTCAGCCTGAATAGCTTCCATGCAGATTAGTTACACCCACCAGAAAACAGCAGAGGCAAATGTAGACACATTTCAGTTGTAGTCCAAATCCTGTCCTTGGATTCATCTGAATATAAACCAGGCAGAGCCACAACTTAACAATTTTTGGGGGGTTTTTTGTTTTGTTTTTTTTTAATTATGTAATTAAATAAAGATTTTGCTAGTTTATTATAATTAATTGGAAAAAGAAAAATCAAATATAACAGGAAGTTCCAATGCATGAATTCAGCAATTATTCCCTTCGCTACTTAATTTGTTTCTCTATGTTTCTCTAGTCAAAACTAACACATTTTTATGGTCTTCAATGCTAGCACTCATTATCCTAATCCCTAACACAATTGCAAAGGAAAAGACTGAAAAGTGTCACCTTTATTTTCCCCAGAGAGAGGACAGTGTGCAGGTAATTTGAAGCCTTTTTCTAGGATCTGGTAGCCATTTAAAAGTTGGTATTGATTTTAGATGCAATGCATTTTTAGTATGTCAACACAGAGCAAAAAAAAATTGTACTGCAAAAAAATAGCATACGAAATACTATTTCTGACAAATTTTTCTATCAATTAAAGCTGGAGGAAAACAAATCAAAAAACAATATGCCAAATTAACAACAAATATTGCAACACTGATGCTTCAAAATTCAGTAGAACCTTTTTACGCTTGTGAGCTTATTGAAGGCAAATAATTTCAGGGAAAAAAAGGCAACTAATTTTGAGAGCATCTATTTAGGACTACTCTTCTCATTTTTTGAAACACGGATCTCTCAAGCAAATCTTTGCATTCATAGTTCAATTTTCTTGGTATGTTTACATGGTAGGCTTGAACTGGGCTGAATCAGAAAGAGCTGGCTCAGGGAATGATTTCACCCCCACTGCTGTATCCAGATTAGAAAGTACAGTAAAACCGAAGTATTACAGCCAAATGGCTTGCTGAGGCAGCTGCAATTTCTTGCCTGACAGCAGCCTCGACTATGCAAAAACTACTGCCCCAGTTTGCAGGAAAACAGAGCTGGCTTTTACACAGTGGTCTTAGTGAACGAATACTCGGATTCCTCTGACCACCTACGGGCACTAAGTTACCAAAGTGCAGTGTTTGTAACCTTCTAGCTGAGATTACTGATACAGTGCATTTCAGTTTCAAGCTAATCAGGCCACAGGGGACTTTAGCTGACTTGTCCTTCTAGATACTGGACATGTGGACAAGAGCTGCTTTCCCAGACACGCACAAGTTGCAGCTGTGAGGTACCAGCATCACACTTCAGACTAATGTTTTTCCTCTGTGTCTGCCTCCATCACTTGCTTGAGGGAACTCATGATCCCAGAGAAGTCTCACACTTCTCTAAGATTCTCTTACAGTCGTGATCAGAAAACTAAAGAGAAATGGCCAGCAGCAAAGCCTTGAAAATTTCTTTTGAAAAAGAACTAACTAACAATCATCTAGTTAGTCTTTACAATCTGGTGTGAAAGGAGAACTAACAACAATAACTATTTGTATGCATGTGTGTTCACTTGTCTTGTGTGGTGGCTACCCTCATGGTGAATTTCTGGCTAATGCTATCTACTCCAGAGGGTCAGAAATCTACCTGAAATATTGCTGTGTGAATTTCAGAAAATTCAGTGTAGTCCTTGATGCAGAAATCTTACTGAATCTCAGCTAGGAAATAAGAAAACTGAACTTCTCAAAAAAATCCGATCTTTTTCTCCCTAGACCAGATATTTTTTTGGAGAATTTACACACTGAGATATTACAATTACACATTCTTTTCTCAACTGCACCAGTACTAATCAGAAGAGAGTTGAGTGAAATATTTAAAATTAAATAATAGTAAGTTACAAAATTTTTACAGGGATACCACATAAGGCAAAGTGAGTGGTTAAATGCAAAGATAGCACTGTAGAGGCTCAGAGAGCTCTGTATTAGTTCCTAGATACAACACTTCTGTTGCGGCACACCTGCGTTCCTCGTGTTGTAAATATTACGCTCTGTCGCCCCTCAGTTCAGCTGCTTTGCCCCAAGGCCTCAGTCACCTGCCAATCCCTGTTACAGCCCTGCCTCCTCGCCCAGAATCTTCTCTGTCCCTCCCCCCTGGGGTTTCAATCCTGAATTATGCCTTCTCCCTTGAGTGTCCATCCACCCTGATCCTACCCCTTGTTCCAGTGAGTTCCCTGTCAATCCTCCCTTGTACCAACCTCCAGCTTGGATCTCCCCTTTGGAACTGCCCTAAACCACGATGCCCCAGTGGATTGTTCACTTGCTTGTCAGTTTGTGTCCCCTCCCTGTGTTTCCCCATTTGTTGGAACCTTGTAAATCCCACCTTCTGTACCTCTCCTAGTTCCCCCTCATTTGCTGAGAGACTGTAACTGCCCCCTGTTCCTTCCAAGTACAAGAAGCCTTGCACACGCTTGTGCTTTGCTCTTTGTCCCTGACTCCTTCAGTGAATAAAACCGTTCCTGGAACCCATACAAAGAGCCTGCTACTCAATCCTTGCCTCCACACTGTGCACCAATTATCAGGACATGCCATAAAGCAATAGCTCGAAGCCACACTCCAGGTCATCCTGCTCCTGGAGTGTGTCCCACTGTCAGTGTGGTGCCGTGGTGGCGGTGAGCTAGCCTAGAACTCCGGCATCGCGTCGCACTTCTTTAATACCCATTAAATATTGCAAGGATGCTTTCAAAACTGAAACAGGACAGCCGGAAGACAGTCAGTCAGTCAGAATCATAACCTAAAAACGCAATTTAAGTAGTTCAAGATAATGAAAGAGAAAATAAGGAAGAAAAACAGAGACAAAAATAAATAAGCAGCTCAAACCAATGAAAAGCAGCAGCTATCTAGAAGAAAAAAACACACCAAGCAGCCAATGTCAGCCAGCCACAGCAGAAGTGCTGCATTTTTCATTTTCAGATTGGAGACTTCTTTTTTGTTTGCACAAACAAATACTTGGAAAACGATCGTTTCTCCTGTCACAACTCTGATTTACATGTAACAAAGCTACTTATGCACAATCAGGTGTATATGTTATTTAGAATCCACTGTGAGCCGGGCGACACTTGTCAGCTGTTGCTGCTGGAGAGGCTTCTGCCAATAAATTTATTGACATGTAAATTAGGTAACCAAGCGGAGAGTACAATTAAGAAGGAGCAAATTACCTACATAAGTCAACCCATGGGTAAACTGTACAACCAAATTTGGTCTTGATCTTTTTAGTACTCACATCTACAAAAATAATAAACAAATATAAAAGGAAACTGACTGACTTTTTAAATATGTTATATTACAAACAAGTAATTTGATTATCCTCCAATCTTCATGACCACTGCTGTAAAATCAAGAATTGTCTCAGAGTCCAGTCAGACTTGAAGAATCACCTACAACACTGTTTAGTTTTTACCCAAGTGGAATCTTGTGGAAGGATGCTTGCTTAAGAGCCCTGGCTCTCTGCTCTTAAAACAAGCTTCACAGCAGTGGATTCACATTTGAACTGAATTTTTTTACTTTATTGGAAAATAGCTGGTACAGGAAGGTAACATTTAAATAAGAAAATGGCTCCTTAGCAATACAGACAACAATTCTGGTATTTAAATACAAATGTTGAGTGACTAAAGCCTTCAAGACATCAACACAGGGTTTTCAGTCACCATACAAAACTTGTGAGACCTGTACTGACACAGTTCTTCTGGAGCCTAGGCTAGTTCAGGGGAGCACACACCAGCAGCCATGCCAGGTGTGGGCAACTACCTTGGCATTATCAGCACCAAAGGCAGAACCTTTTGAGCCTTGTGCACAGCAGGCAGGATTGTCAGCTGCAGTCAAGGAGAGCATAAAGTTGGAGAAAGAAGAGAAGAAAGAGGAAGAGGCTCTCAGTGTGAGGTTCCACCACAGAAAGACTTACTCGCTGAATTGGTCAGGGGCCAATGAGTCCCGAGCATAGCAGTGATATTATACAACAACGAAGTAGGGGGAGGGTACAACTGAACAACCAATAGGGAACCCTTGAGGGTGGAGTGTGGGG